AAAAAAAAAGAAATATAGGCTGCACGAAGTTTTCTTTTTTATATTACCATATTGTGTTATTTCAGGAACTGATTTCGAAGTCGTAATTCGTGTTCTTGAAATAGATGATGCAGTCGTACCAATCATGTTACCTAATACCGAACATAAAAGTAGATTTTCCTAAACAGTAATTAAAATAAAACTACTTACTTAGTTGTGACGCTCCAGTACTTTGTAAAACAGGGTTAAATCTTTTACGAGGAGGTGGAGCAGATGATGTCATTGAAACACTATTAGCAGTTGATCGACGTCGTTTTGCTGGTGATTCTTAAACATAAAAGACATGTTTACCACGAGCTCCTTGTTTAATTATTTTCGTACCTTGAAATACTTGACTGCTTTCCTGATTTATTGCCGAGTTAGTAATTGTGGATAACGATTCGTTCAAAATATGATGATCGTTATTTAACCGTGGATCTCGAACAGAAAATGGTGATGTATCAACTAAAAATTAGAAGAAAATATAACGACTGTGGCAATTTCAGAAATGTTTGATTCCAAGGTCCATGTTTCGAAGAATTATAAAAACGGGGCGGAAACTTACGATCATTAACATGTAATATTGATTGCGTTGGCTGTACGACGAATGATGCAGGTTGCATTAGATGATACGACGGAGCTGAATATTGTTGATCAGAATTTTCATTGCTGTCGTTGATGGTTAAACGGTTGAACATATTTGAAATAATCTGAAATAGAGAAGATTTAATCAAGAATAACAACGAAAAACACCGTCAATATTTAACTGCAGTTACAGAAAAAAAACTTCGATAACAAACTTTCATTAAGATTGATCAACATCATAGAAAACTTCAGACAAAAGAGTAAAGTTAGACATAGGTACAACGATACATTTATAGAGAAGAGAAGAAAAAGGAACAGAAACAAATTCTAAAATAGAATCATCACATCTAGAGTAATATTTATCGAGAAATTTCGGTACAATGGGAGATAGACACCACTTTTTAATAAAATCACTTTTAGAAAAAAAATCAACCGATGTGCGATACATTTTTATGAACGCGTACGATACATCAAATAATTTGAAGAAAAAAACAACTTCACCATAGCATTTATCGTTGTCATTATTAAGAAAAGATACAATAAAACTCTGACTGTTACCACGCCTGGAATAAGACAAAGAATGGAATTCAGATAATCCTCGTGATGCACGAGAATAGAGTTGTAACTCTGGATTGTCTGTCGAATCAATAACATTGTCAATGGAATCAAAGAACTTCTTCTCATACTTAACAACATAATGTTCATCAATAAACCTATCATCCGTCAATTTCTCATCGACAAAAATATTATTGATTGACAATGTTTCATTTTCGATTACGCAACGGGATCTGTCGAATGATCGACAGATCTGATGTGCAATAAATCGGTTTCCAGAACGTAAAGAGCGAAGAAAACGAAGAAAGCTCTCATTAGCAAAACAATTATGAAAACACAAAGCACCATTACTGGAAACTTTTTCTGTCAAATGTAGATGCGCATGTGTTGAATATATCTCAAATGATGAACCATAAATTTTTGATGCATATTCACAATACAATTTGATCAGAGGATCAACTTCAACGACTTCATTAAAATCGTGGTAAAAATAAAGTGTTCGAATGAAAACAAAATATAAGGAGAAATGAGAAGATATGTTTTCAGGAAGCATAGAAAACGCTAATGGAAACATTAGATAGAGAAAAAATGCACGATAATCATGGGCTTTCCAATATGTACGATCAGAAAATGAATTCAATTGTACATTGAAATTATGTGGCCATTTTATTTGTGTTAAAAAGTCATTACCTGATAACCATGCTTGTGCTACAACTAGCTCATTCCACCAATCCAACAACAGAGAACAATGACCAAGGAAACATAAATGCATAATATCAAGGTCAATTTGTGTAGGAATATCAAGTATCTTGGCTAATGGACTAGTACCTTTAACACCAAAAAAGTCTTTATTAGATGGCTGTTGACGTAATATTTCTGTACAAATGTCGAAATGGGCTGGTGTACGAAGGTTTACTTGGTTTTGATGATAAGGATAAATGACAGTTCTTGCTTCTGAACACCATATCCCTTTCTGGTCGCACTCAAGGCATGCGTAATATCCATTATGATTAATATGTTTACATGCTAAAGCTCGAGCTGGTAAATCACTTTTGAACAACTGTACATCAATCTTATACTTTATACCATCAATAATTATGACTTGTCTAATTGAATCACATAATTGTACCAATAATATATCTGGATCAGGCTTC